ACCCCGAGGTAAAACCAATGTTATATTAATATACACTGACCAAACCGCATTATGCTACTTTACATTCACTGGTTAAAGAGAAGAGAAATAGAATCTAGCAAACCACTGCATTATAAACACTCTTTAATAGCTATAGTTACTATGTACCAGTCAGTAATCGCTGATACCTCCCGTATCCAAAACACGACCCTCTACAGAGCTCGTCCCGCAGTCGAACTTGTGCTCCGGTCATTGGTCTGCACCTTCCTGAGACCCTTGCCTGCCTGGATCGAAGCCAACAATGCTCCTCGATCGCCTGCTCCTGCCGGTGCCGGGGGCGCGGCAGCTGGAGGCGGAGGTGGAACACCAGGAGGTGCTGGTGGAGGCGCGGGAGGTGCCGCAGGAGGAGCAGGCGGGGGCGGCGGAGGAATAGCAGATTCACCTGCAGGAACTGGCACAGGCGGCGGTGGCGGCGGTGGTGGAACAGCACCAGGCGCCGTGGGCTGTTCAGTTTCGGCAGGCTTGGGCTCAGTATCTTGCACCGGTGTCGCCGATTGCGAAGGAGACTTGTTATCCATCGCACTCAAAGGCCGTGGTGGTGCCATGGTGCCGAACAGGATACTAGCAAGTTGCTTCGCGCTACCACCACCAGGATTTTCATCCTCATCGTCAGAATCATCAAAGTCGGATCCTGCTGCCGACCAGTCATCTTCTTCGGGACGTACACGAGACTTCTGCTCTAATGGTCTTGCCCCGGTAAAAGTGGGCTTGACGCTTTCCTGCTGTGCCAAGCGGTGGAAGGGGTTGGTCGACTGGACGTCGGACGAGGGAGCGGCAGGTTGAGGAATCTTATTAAAATAAGGGTTGTTGGACGAAGGTTCGATGTTGACGTGGGGAGCCGGCGAAGTGACTTCAGGGCTTACAGTCTGTTCTGGTTCAGGGTGCGACTCAGGCTCCGGCTCATGCGGAGGCTCGGAATCTAACTCCCATTCATCTGCAGGCTCCGGTACTGGAGCAGCCTCTGGAGGAAGAATCTGGCTCTGAGTGGGCGTGCTATCCTGAGGCGTGACATACTCAGGTCCCTCGTCATCCGAGCTTTCATCACCAAGGCCTTCCAATTCAAGCTGAAGCTGCCTCTCACGCTCCCGAGCCATTTCGAGCTCTGCACGTTGAGCGGCAGCCCTATCTTCTTGTTCCTTTGCAGACCTGGCGGCCTCCTCCTTGCGGCGCTTTTCTTCTTGCTTCTTGATCTTGCCTTGCTTGACTTGTTCCTCGAGCGCACGAAGACGAGCTTCTTGTGCTTCCTTCTCTTTTTGCATCTCGTCATCTTGTAATCTGGACTCGTCTCTATTAGTAGGTTAGCAAAGAGTTTAAGATACCATACAGAACAACTTGAGAACTTACTCAAGGCGCATCCGCTCAGCTTCTTGAAACTGTTGTTCTTCCTTGATGGCCTGCTCCTGGGCAGCCTGATCCGCCTTAGCAGATTCCTCCGCTGCTTTTTTCGCATCAGCCTGAGCGGCACCGTCTCCACCATGCTTCCTTGTAGGAGGAGCAGGTGGTGGCTTCTTGCCCATCGGCTTAGTGGCCGGTTTCTCAGCCGGCTTCTGTTCGTCAGCAATGCGACGCTGTCTTTCCTGTTCTCTTTGGGCGTCTTCTTCCTCTGCCCGCTTCAGACGCTCCTCCCGTTCTCTCTTCTCACGCTCTTGACGCTGAGTAAGAGACTCTCCGGCGTCATGAGGCTTCAGACCAGCCGCCGCCATACGTTCAGCAATACGTCTCTGAGCACGTTCTCTGGCTGCAGCAACACGATCCTCATGAGTATTGCCTGGTAGGGGGCCTGGGGATGTAGAAGGTGGCGGAGAAGGCCGGGCAGCGCCTGGGCCTTCAGACGATAGCGTGTCATATCGAGCAGGAGACGGTCTTGATTCCCTGAACGAGTCATTAATTTCAACGGCCCATCTCATGTAGGAAGAAAAACTTACTCTTTGCGAATATGCGCAGTGCGAGCGTTACGCTGCAAATCGTAGATGAAGTCACGAATAACGTCTTCCACGCCAAGCGCATCCTCCCACCGACGACGTTCATGCTCACGCGTGGAGCTTTCGCCTCCATCCTTGAGGCTGTCCTCGAGACTCCTGGCGAAGTCTTTGACACTATCCTCAACATCGCGCGTCATGGTGTCGTTACGCTCTCTGTCCGCCTTGACGTTCGTGCTTTCGGCCTCCAGCCGACGAGCAGCCGAACCGTCATCATCTTCAGACGCAGGCGCGGGTCGTCCAGCAAGTTCAGCGGCACGGGCCTGCATCCTCGCGCGAGCGCGAGCCTTGATACGGTCTGCCTCTGTGACCGTGCCACCGGGACCGGTGCCAATGATGTTAGAAGCAGTGCCAGGGTGAGCCTTGGCATCCTTCAGGCGGAAAAGCTCAAGTTTAGCCTCAGAGATCTCCCGTTCAAGTCTGCGGACATCAGAGGCGACCTGGGGAACCTGGTCCTCATAGCCCTGCAATTGACGACGGAGCGACCTCCGCTCCGCTCCCGAATCGAGGTTACGGAAAGTAGCGTTGGGGTGGGTATCAATGTCGTCCTGCACGCGGCGGATCCGTTCCATAAGGCTTTCCGCTTCTCTGCGATCCCGGCGGTCAAGGACTTCATTTTCCTCAGCACGGTTCTCATCCTGGAAATCGACTGCATCGAGCATGACCTTGGTCTCACGAATTTTCTTCTTCAGCTGGTCGATAGACAGCTCATCTTCTGATGTCTGGGAAGCAGCAGGAGACGGGGTCCGAGCAACATTGTTACCAACACGGCGACGGGCGCTGGATCGGTACCCTGCAGCAGCCTCGTCATTATTCTTGAACATTGTGGCATCCTTTCGGCCAAAACCTGGGGATCCACCGCCCCGAAAAGAGTGATCCTTCAAATAGCTGACACCGGTCTTCTGGGGTTGCAAAAACGCACCAGATGCCTTCCGAGACTCAGCGTCTTGCGAAAGCATCGACTTGACAGTACCGATAGAATCATTAAGATTCCTTGTAGATGGCGGGACAAGCTCTGGTGGAAGACGGTTTGGCACAGGATAACCGTTAAGTCTTCTATAGATCAAATGCATTGCCACAGCGAACTCATCCATGTTGAGCCTACCCCGGTTGTGTGGGTCCGCCAAAGTCCAGATCCGCTCCAGGTCCTTCTGCTCCATACCACTTTGACCCATAATCTCAATAGCAGTTTCACCACCAATGAATCCCTTGCGGAAACCATCCCACACACGGAAGAGATCATCATAGATCCTCTTCTCCTCTTTAGTAATTGCCCATGGAACGGTGGCGTTTCCAGAGAGTCCAGCGGTAGAGAAGCCACCCTCGCGGCCCGGCTGAGGCATGAGCTGCTGTTTAAGAGCCTCAATGTTGGGCAATCCTGTCGCGGGTGCGTTTACAAATCCCCACTGACCTGGGATGCCAGTAGGCTGCGCGGTCAAAGCAGCCGTCCCACCCGTCTGAGCTGGGCTCAGGTTGGATCCAAATCCGGTGGGAATCGGCGGAATAGGGGGGCGAGGGCCACTGTATCCGGTGGGCTGCGGGTTGTTCATCAATCCTGTCGGTTGAGGCTGCAGGAACTGCTGGCTAGGTCCTGGAAATCCAGTCGCTTGTGGAGCGATGCCCTGACCGGGGAAGCCAGTCGCCTGTGGAGCGAGACCCTGACCCGGGAAGCCAGTCGGGTTGGGTTGCAATCCGGTTGGCTGGGTGACAAAACCAGTAGGTTGTGCTGTCAACTGACTGAGGAGCTGGGAGTTCGACGGCTGCTGCGGCCGGGGTTGCTGTGGCGCCGGGGGCTCAGCCTTGTTCTGGAGTAGTGGTTGCTCCGGCTGCGTGTCAGGAACGGTAAAGGAAATGATATCCACCATGCTGGAGACCTCGTTCTGGATCGTTTCAGGAAGCGCGGCGGGAAGGTCTCTGCCGGTAATTTTCAAGTTGCAGAGGTACATCGCCAGTGCGAATTCAGGAAAGAATAGCTGTCCGGATTTGGTGGTGTCCGACAAAATCCTATCACGGTCTGTAAGTTTTCTGGCCCAAAGAGTAGTATTCACCAGCCTGTGCTGCTTACCAGATCCTCGACAAGTCACCCCCAGGGAGTCTAGATCGTAGTAGTAGCTCCTTGACTTTCTCGCCTATAGAAAGCAAGTATCAGCAACTCCGTACTTCTGGGGTGACAGATCCATCTCTACTTACCATCCATCGTCTGGTTTTCTCCAACCGCTGACTTGAACAACTGCTCGAATTTGGCCTGATCCTGCGCGGTGATGAACGAAAGCCTGATACTAGGGATCTTATTACCAGCCCCGGAGGGAGCCTTGGGTGGCGGCTGCGGGCGTCCATCGCTAAACGAATCAGCTATCTCATTTGACGTCTTTGCAGCCCGAAGGGGCAGTCCGGTGGATTGAGCGACTTGAAGCTGTGGCGGCTGAGACTGCAGCTGGTTCTGGGGAGGATATCCGGTTAACTGGGGCGGCTGGGGGGAGAGCTGGAAGCTTTGTGGTTGCGGCTGCGGTTGCTGCTGTTGTGGCGGGAACCCCGTGAATTGCGGTTGAAGCTGTCCAGCACCGGCGAACCCCGTTGGTTGAGGTTGCAGTTGAGGGCCTCCGAGTCCAGTATACTGATGCGCATATCCGGTCGGTTGAGGAGCGAAGCCCGTTGGCTGTGGCTGTTGCGGTTGTGGTTGCTGCTGACCGGGGAATTGGGAGTATGGCTGCTGTAGGTAAGGCGCCGTGCCCGGGCGAGCGCTATTGGCGCCGCCCAGGAAGGTATTCGAGCCGGAAAACATCTATACGAAGGAATAAGATAGCATCGAAAACAGATGGAAAAAAAAAAAAAAAAACAAATAACGAATGGAAAGTAACTAACAGGTAGCGATAGGAGGGGAGAGAGCGAGATCAGGAGCTGCCGACGAACCGGAATTCAGGGACGCGGAGAGACAGCGCACTAGCCCCGATCAGGTATGGGCTTAGTCAGGGGGCCACATGGGCCATTACGACAACTGTGTACATAGTATATTATTATACTTGGAAGTATCTTTGAATTGATTAAATTGACATTTCCTCTTTTTCTTCCCTCTTGGGACCCGCACATTAACCGTAAACCTCGTTAATTTGCCGTGGCAATAAGAAACGCAAGGACGTGGCAGATCCGACTAGTAGTAGCGTCATGTCGAAAAGCACAGATGCGCACTAGTTCATGACACGGAACCATTTCAAACTATTTCCTCTACTGTCCGTCGAGGCCGTTCTGCTGCTGCTGGGTAGATCCAACCATTTTGCGCAGCTCATATTCCTTGGTGAACTCACGGGAGAGAATACCCAAGTCCTTAACCAAGTCGTGACAGGCTGCGATCACAGCGTCCTTGGGAGTAATCTCACCGTCGGTCTGAACACGCAATTCGAACTTGGGAAGTAGAGGGTGGGGGACCTGGATGAGCGTGTTAGTTATATAGTCTTATGGTGACAACAGATATGAGAGCCAGAGCAGCGACGTACCTTGTAACCGGCAAAAAGGACGTGGGAGCTCTGCAAGAGACGAGAGCGGAGCAAGTTGCCTAGGGTATGGTCTTCCTTGTTAAAGGTGAAAATGGCAGAAGAGGGGATACCTAGCAGCCGCGTTAAAATCAGCATTTAAGCAGAAAGAAAATGTTCCCAGAACAAAAAAGACTTACGAGTGTCAATCTCCAAGTCAACTTTGTTCTCACCAGGGGCAAGGACGAAGGACTCATATCTATTAACCAAAGCCAGTTAGCGTCTTCTTTCAAAAGTAGAAACAGTGCACCCAAACAAAAGACAAGTTTCAAGTAGATCCAAAATACCCTTGCCCACCTAGACTGACGGTCGTTGTCGATGCCCAAGTCGACACTCGACTGGCGAGCATGAGGATTGCTATGCCTATTGATGTAACGCGCAAACGTCATTTCGCAGGGCAAGATGAAGACCTCCGAGCCCTCTCTTTCACTTGTGCCCGAATCCATTTCGAGAGAGATGGAAGTACAGTATAGTGTATACAGAAAGGGAAAATGATGAAGGTGAATGAAAATCAAAAGAGAAAGAGGAAGAAAAGAGGGAGAGTCCTGGACAGAAAGCACAAAGCCCTGCTTCCCTCCCCTCTGGCAATGACATTTGTTGATGTTTGTGATCGATGGGCACACAACAAAAAAAAA